GTGCCAGTACCATGCTGTCTTGATGATGACAGCTTTGTAATAGAGCTTGAAGTCCGGAATTGTGATGCCGCCGGCTTTGCTTTTCTTTTTCAACATTCCACTAATGGATTTTTTTTAAGGCCAAGTCCATCTTGGAACATAACCAACATTCATCACCGGTTTTGGTGGCAGATACTAGATGAGGTGTTTGGTCACTGGAAACTTTCCGGAATGGGCCCTTTGACTAAAAACTGATAGCATGCTTTATCAGATTATATAATCCAGGGCAGAGGCGAAGCTAGGAGAGCAGAATGTGCCAGTTGATCGTCGCCGCCAGTCAGGTGACCCACGGGCCCAGCACTGAGGCTCATTAACACCATTTGCTCTAATTGAAAGAATCAGGCCGGGGTGGGGGAGCATTCCCCTGGCCTCTGAGGCCCTCACCGTGACCTGTTGTCCAGGGCTCAGGCGGCAGGTGAGCAGGCAGTGCGAGGGCAAACGCAACCATCTGATTTCTCTTCCGACAGGAATGGGGGAGGCCGTAGTGGGACATTCTGTGCCATCAGCATCGTCTGTGAGATGCTCCGGCACCAGAGGACGGTGGACGTCTTCCACGCGGTGAAGACGCTGAGGAACAGCAAGCCCAACATGGTGGACCTCCTGGTAAGCCCCCCTCCCCTCCCCCCGTCCTGCAGAATGGGGCATTTTCCCACTTAGGGGACGTAGTTGGTGGTGATGCTGATTCACGGGGGGGGGGGGTTGGGGGAGACTCGTTTTCAGGAGCATAATGGAATCGCTTTGCTTGCAAGGGCTTTTCTCCCTCTTCCTCTCTCACTTGGCTTTTCACAGGGAGACTTCATCTCCACACACAGGCAACGTGGAAAGAGTTGAAACTCACAAGTGAACATCCTTATTCATTTCCGTTCTTGGCAGTGCCTTCCACATGGTTAAGCACTTAGTCTTCGCGGGGAAGGAATAATCATAGCACCCAAAATGCCAGATTTTCAAATTATAGATTTTCTAAATAGCTTAATCACCTAATATTTATCAAAGCTGTGAATTTTAGTTTGACATCCAGAATATTGTGTTTAATTCTGGTGGCCATATCTGAGATGAGGACAGAGGAGCGGAGAAACAAAGGACTACGTGCAGTTATTTTCTTAGAGTATTTCAGATCTCTTTCTTGTGTGCCGCTATTAAAATGCCAGCCACTGCCGCTTGTGAGTAGAATAGCTTGAAGGAGGAAGCTTTCAGATTAGGTGTTTGTACTTCTCTGCTAGTGGAAGAAGGATCTGAAGGAAACGGTGGGACGGATCCCAAGGTTGGGAGAATGGCCTGGGGTGGGGAGAAGGAGGAAGACATGGCTGGTGCCCACGCCACACCTGGAAAGCCCACGCGACCCGGCCCACGGCCCTGCGGCAGTGGGCTTCAAATTTAAAATATAAGAAAGGGACTAAAGAAGGAGTGGAGATTCGAGCTAACGTTGAGGGAGTAGCCACGGTCCCAGTCATCCTAGCTGTGCCCCAGGCTGGGTAATGATAGTCACCAATGCTGACCCACTCCTGGGACACGTCCTCCTCTGCACAAGTCACTCTCCCAGGGCATCTGCTTCCCCCAGGTACATGTGTCCTGCTTGATGTTTCCAAGAAGCACGGTGCTGCTTGGGGAATTTGGGAGGCGGATGCCTGTTTGGCCAGGTGCAAACTCCCAAAACCATCAGCAGGTAGCACCTTGGCTTCTGTGGAGAATGGACCATGCCCCCCAGCCTGCTGCCCCCTCTCCTCCCCGCCCTAGGGGAGGCCCCAGGAAAACCGAAATTCTCATCTCAGCAATGCTACTAATTTAAGTCAAGTGACAATGAACTTGGCCATTTAAGTCTTCTCGGGCCGGGCACTTAGCTTTCCTGAGCCCGAGTCGTGTAAACCAAGGATAATGTTGGCTTATTGAGGTGATCCCATAAGACAACATATGTGAAAGTGTTGCTGAAAAACTCAAAGATGAGAAAGTGGGTCTTGAGAGCGCGGGTGTCTACAGGGCATCCTGCAGCCAGCAGGTATATGTGAGCTGGTTGGGTGAGGAAGAGGAGGTGGCAGCTAGCAGCTGGTATTCACATGGTGCTTAATATGTGCCAGGCCCCACGCCCAGTGCCTTTTACGGAGGCACAGATTTCGTGTGGATGGGCTGAAGGCTGGCTGTTGTGTCCCATGTGCAGGCTTCAATAGAACCAGCTCCTCCGGAGGCAGAGAACTATCTCACTCCCTGGGACCACCCGTGAGTGTTGAAGAGTTGTACCACCACGGAACTCTCTTCTGGGCTGGGAGCAGGTGAGATAGGGCAGCTGGGCCATCAGAAGTGGCCTGAGTTTAAGACAGATAAGAAGGTGGGCAGAAGATGGAAGCAAATGCCTAAATTAAAATATTCTGTCTTCATTGGCATTTAACCTCTGGGATTCAGGGACAGATGTGTAGCTTCCAGTTGATCTGGGGCCTTTCCGCTAATGGCTCTGGCTGCAGCTTTCCTCACTCACGAATTTTTATGTGCAGAAACAATGTGGCTTTTTCCAAATCAGTGGTGCAGACTAAAGGATGGAGGTGATTCTTTATGAACTGAATGGACATGTAGGTGCTTGGACCAGCAGAGAGCCCACTCTCAGGCGTTTCTGTGATGAGGTGCTACTCAAATAGAGAAAATAGGATCTCTGGATGCCCAAACTTCTGAGGGTCAGTACCAGTTCTAGGATAAGGTCCATGCTGAAAAATATAAGGCAAGTTTTCAGTTTCCTGGAAGAATGCCTGATAAATTTGTTACAATGACTCTTAGCAAAATAATAGGTAAAATCTGGTGACCCGAGGAAAGAAATGTCACAGGGCTCTTTTCAGTGGGCTAGAAGCTTCCTGAATTGAGTAAGGACCCATGTCGTTTGTTTGTTTTTGCTTGCAAGTACCGTTTCTTTTAGTTAGGTAGTCATATATATTTATATAGGCAGTATGTTGGCTGAGGGAATTAATTAACTCAGGTCAGGGTGATAAAACCCAATACAATTTCATTGGGCATAAAAGACCATCTGAGACCTGAGTCTCTCCTAAGCACAAACTGTTGTACCAGCAACTGAAAAGCACAGAGTACTGAGTCTTCCTAGATGCATCTTAGAATGATGAAATGTGTTCCAGAAAGTCCTGGAGCGCGCTTCTGTGCTGGCCGGCTGGGGAGGCAGAGGGAATGGGGTGTGGAGGGCCCAGGCCTGGGCCCTACAGGATGTGCTCAGTTGCGGGGGCGGGGGGTGCTCCCTCCTACCTCCTTCTTGCCTGGTTAGATTCAGATGGAGTCCCCAGTGCCTGAGCTCCTTTGAAGTTTCCGGGGAAATGGGCTGCTTCAACAAACATCTCCTCTCTCACTTTTGTCCTCACTGGGCTTTAGAAGTTTCCAGAGCTCCATTTTATTTTTCTTCCCCCAGGGCTCTGTTTTAACAAAGAAACAATCTTTGGGGAACAGATCTTTCCTCAAGAAACATATTATCTCCTGGGAGGTGGGGGAACTCTAGCCAACATGATGAGATGTGACATACATATACATTGTACAATTGTTACCAAGATCAAGATAATTAACATATCCATCACCCCACTTAGGTAACATACTTGACTCATGTGTGTCTGTGGGGAGAATGCTTAAGATCTATCCTCTACAACTTTCCAATATACAATACTGTATCACTAACTATAGTCACCATGCTGTACATTAGATCCCCAAAACTTCTTGTAACTGAAAATTTGTGCCCTTGACCAACATCACCTCATTTACTCACCCCCAGCTCCTGGCAACCACCATTTAATCTGTTTCTATAAATTGGCTTTTTTTTTTTTTTAATGAAAGCTTTAAAGAATCCTGAACCCTGGGCCCACCCCAGAGACCATGATTCAGTTGATCTGGGGCCTGACTGTGGCAGCCGGATGTTAAAAGCACCCCAGGTGATTCTAATGTGTGGTAGGGTCAAGAACCTTGGTGCCCCGTCTAGATGGCTCTCAGCCAGGGCTGTCCATTGGAATCACCTGAGGTGCTGTCACAAATGCCAAGGCCCAGGCCATGCCCCAGACCAATTATGGCAGATGGAGCCCAAGACGAGTGGTGGGCTGCAGGTGAGAACATGGCTCACCAGGGTGAGCAACCTGTCCCTTTCCTCATGCTGGCTGCAGAGCATATCCAAACCCACCTCCCCACCACCCCCACCTCTATCCCTCCATCCCTCCTGCTCAGACCCAGCCCTCTGCCAGTATCTCCCAATATCTATAATTTGAAGCTGGCTACCCACACCCAGCCCCACTTGGCCCTTCAGTATACTGAAATAATATTCAGTGCAAAGTACTCCCTACAAAATGGCATGGAGTGTGGGGCCTCCCTCTCACGTGGACAACACAATGAATCTACTAACCTGTGTGTATGAACTGCCCCCCCCCACTCCAAGAGGTCACCTGTGAACTGTGAGACATA